CTATGTATAAAATAGATAACTAATGAGAACCTACTGTATAGCACAGGGAACTCTACTCAGTGCTCTGTGGTGACCTACTAAATGGGAAGGAAATCCGAAAAAGAGGGAATATATGTATACGTATAGCTGATTCACTTTGCTGTACAGTAGAAACTAACATAACATTGAAAAGCAACTATACTCCAAAAGAAAAAAAAAACCTTTTAATTAAAAGACCCCAATTGTCAGTATCCAGAGGTCTTTTCTTTTGAGCTAGCTCATTTCGCCACAGAAGGCTCCTCCAATTTCCTGGATATTGATAGATAAGCCTGGTTGTGTGTGTTTTGGGAAGTGAGTGGGTTTTAGGGACTGGGAGCTCTCACCCTATAATACACAGACCTTCAGTCCAGCTCTTGCCTTATCCCATTTTCTGCTGTTGTGTATCCTCAAGACCAAAGCCTCTTGCATTCAGTTTTTCTAGAGTGTAAACCTTTGGTATCCTGCCAGGATGGTAGGTGGGGGCCGCTTGGGGGTTAGAGAGGGCATCTAAGCATCTATTTGCTCCTTTTACAATAATTCAAACAGCCCTGTTTTCAGATCCACTCTTCTCTCCCTCTTTCAGAGGTATCTGGTGTCCTCAATTCCTGAGCCTTTCCAGTGTCATGTCATGTGATTGGGTTTGCTCCTTTTAGGATTCCGCATACTCCCACACTCTCCACAGGCATTAGGTTTCAATAGCCATAGCCTGCTGATTACCTCTCATCCATACCTTACTTTCCATTTTCCAAAATTTAGTCAACGTCTTTTTCATCTAGTGTCACCTCCTTTCTTGTTCTTTTTTCCTTATGGATTTATTCATTTTTTATTAATTTACTGTCATTTTAGTGGTATTTGGCATGGAAGCAGAGATAAACATATGCATTCAATTCTCCATGTTTAACCAAGAGCAATCCCTCCTATTTTTGAATCTTCCATTTTCATCAAATAGCTGCAGATAGTAGTAGAATTTAAAACTTCTGCCCCTTATGTTTTCCTTATCTATAATTTTAAGACAACAAAAATATTGAACTCTCTGTACTGGCTTTCCTTTAATAGTTGTATATGAACTGTTTTTTCAGATTTACCACATTCTTCCTCTGGATCACAAGGCCCCTAACATCAGTGCCACACTGTCTTGATAGGACTCATACAGAGCTAGTAGGAAGGAAAACTGGCAGCAAGAAGCACGTGATCTATTTTAACCTGACTTTAAATGATAATGTCCTATTCTTTAACATACTATGTTTCTTTTCTGACTTCCTACTTTTTTTTTTTAATGTTCCAATTTTTATGTCTGTGTCTTCGCCCTATATAGAATTTCAGGAGCCCCCTTTTCACATTTACATTTCCCATACAGTTTTACTTCCCATTTTCTTTCTTCTTATTGACCTGCACCTTTTGTTGCCTCACCTTCTTGACCCTTGTCTCTGTGGCAGCTCTCCACTAATCCCTGCTCCATGCAGGAATGTCCATTTTGCCCTTTAGAGGCTATGGCTTTCCCCCTATCCTTGAGAACTTTCTTTATACAATTAAAAACAAAGTTCTATCTATTCTCTGGCCTCTTGAATGAGAGCAGGGCTTTCCTCCCCTTAATTAGCTTCCTTATTAGACCATTAATTTATCTTCTTTCTAATGGGAATTTGTTCTCCACTTAAATGAAGCTTTTTTTTTCTCCAGAACCTGAGAAATTTCAAGTGTCTGGAATGCATGGTCACAAAAAAATAGTGCTTTTCACTTTACCTGTTAACAACCTTGATTCTTTCTGGCTCATAACTCCTATCACTTTTATTAGCTCATTTCCTATTTTTATAAGAATATTCTGGACTTTAGCATTCTTAACCAGAGAAGCAGCCTTAATTGTTTACTCTTACAGTTCAGTTGTAATTATTTAACTTCTAATGGAAAGTCTGCCCTCAGGCATGTCCTTAGGTAACTACTTTTATGCTGATCTCTTTCTATTCCCCAATAATGATCCATGATCATTTATATACCAACTCAGTGTCTTGTATCTTTCAAAAGTCCGCATTTAAAAAAATAAAACTTTATCTCTAAGTGGCTTCCTTTTACAACTAACAAGCAGGAAGAACTCCAAATGTAGCTCCTTTTGTGTGAAAAAGATATTTGCTCTCCACTTTTAGCCTAGCTTTTCTTGCCAAAATTACCTCCAGAGGCCCTGAGATTGGCAGCCTCTAAAATGGCTCCCAGTTATCCCTGCCCTCCTGCTATTCACAGCCTTGTGTAATCCCTTTGTGTTGAGTGTGGGTTGGACTTGTTGTTTCATCTCTAATGAATAGAATGTAGCAAAAGCAGTGGGATGCCACTTCTGAGATTAGGTTACAAAAAGACTGTGGCTTCTAGCTTGGGTACCTTCTCTTGCACGCTCTCATTCTCACTCGCTTGTTTTGAGGGAAGCTAGCTGCCACGTTGTAGGCTTTTCTTTGGAGAGGTTCATGTTGGAAGGAACTGAGTGGGGACCTCTGACCAACAGCCAGCATTGAACTGAGGCTCTCAGCCCAACAGCCTTGAGGAAATAAATCCTGCTGACAACTACATAAGTAAGCTTGGAAGCCAACGCTCCCCCAGTTGAGCCTTTAGATGAGACTGCAGCCCCTGACACCCTAACACCAACCTCATGAGAGGCCTTGAGCCAGAGGCATCCAGCTAAGCCCCACATTCAGATCCCTGACACTCAGAAACTATGAGATAATAAATGTTGTTTGAAGTACTGATTTTGATGACAGTTTGTTATGCAACAATAGAAAACTAATGCAAGTCCTTATGGCCAATTTTTTAGCTTTTAGTCTGTGCTTTTTATATGAGAAGTTTCTTTTTAGGCCATTCTTTCCTCTGGATGTCAATTTAATTGCTCACATAATATTTTCTGTAAATTCCTCTTTGAAAGCAGGGAATGGCAGTTGCCAGTCTTGTTCATAATTGCATATTGATGACTAGCACAGTGCCTGGCACTTGAATAGTTGCCTATTATATATTTACTGGATTTGACCCTTCAGTCTTTTTCTAAATGCCCTAGTTTATAAGTTACTCATCACTTTCCATATTGCCATTTCTTTGGGGGATTTAGGAGTTAGAAAACCTGCTGGTCTAGTAACTGAGTTTTTTCTCCTTTAATCTGCTGTCCCTCCTCCTCTTGAACTTCAACACTGCTGTCTCATTTGAAGTACCACCTCTCTCCTTCTCCAGCAGAGCTGAATCCATGTGTGCTCACTCTTGCCACTCCTGCCTGGACTGGTGGAGCAGCTCCCTTTTTCAAGGGAGGCTGTGCTGCTGTGTTCCAACAGGAGACACTCAATCACATAACACCCTAACCATCTGGTGGAGTAAGCACTAGTGTGTTTGTTGTTATTCTAAAAGTGAGAGAGAGAGAGAGAGAGAGAGAGAGAGAGAGAGAGAGAGAGAGAGAGAGACAGTGTGTGTGTCTGTGTGTGTGTGTCCTGGAGATGTTGAGTGCCAAGCCTGAGGTCACTTTGAAATTTGGAAGCAGAATAACTAGAATTCTGGTATCCTAAAAGAGGAAGTATAGAGATTCATGGAGATGAAGTTTGGAGAGTCAAATCTTGGAGATTCATATTTGAATCTTCGCTCCACCATGTTGTGTGACCTTACAAATTATTCAAATATCTTGAGTCAGTTCCTCATCTGTAACATGGAAATAATTCCTACTCTATAGGGTTTTAGGCATTATTCTTGATCCAGTATTCTGTTAATTCTACATTTTAACTTAAAATTTCTTTGCAATAGGTTCACTTCATAATTATAATGATAGCATAAACTTTTAATTTGGGTTGATAATTTAAATACAGGAAGAAAACATGGTATATTTGTTAACAATCAATATTACTACTAGCACTTTCCTTTTATTCTTTTATTAAGACGCCAATAAAACCAAAAAAAAATTACTCATCACTAACATTCAGAATCTTCCTCCATTTGCCTTTATTTGCTATACTGTCATAAATGGGATCAAATATTCTAATGTGACAATATTCTAATTCTTGGCTATTGGAAAATTGCCCCACTGTCTTTATAATTTTGGGCTGCTATAACAAAATACAAGAGGCTGTGTGGTTCAAACAACAAACATTATTTCTCACAGTTTGGGAGGCTGGGAAGTTCAACAACAAGGTGCCAGCAGATTTGGTGTCTGGTGAGGGCTTGCTTCCTGATTCAAGATGGCCATCCTCTTGCTGTGTCTTCACATGGTGGAAGGGATGAGGAAGTTTTCTTTCATAAGGGCACTAACCCCATTCAGGAAATTAGTTCATCTCTCAAGATGTAATCACCTCCCACAGACCCACCTCCACATATTATCACGCTGGGGATTAGGTTTCAACATATGAATTTGGGGGGACACACACACATTCATTCCATAGCATCCACCATTTCTAAACTGTTCAGCAGTTCAGAAATAAGATTTTCTTAGGAAAAAAATTTCAAATCGAAATAAGTCTACTCCGGTTTAAATAAAAACACTGCTGAAATAATCATGCATACATAGGAAAGAAGACCACTACATGTAAGTTATCTTATAACTTAGATTGACAGAAAAATAAAACCCTAAAGAACAATTGTTTTTAAAATATATTGTCCAAAATATTAACTTAAGCAGCAAGTACTCTAAAAGTCTCTTTGGCAAAGATTTAATGCCACAACAAATAAGACATAAATTTATAAAGATTTCTAATCTTAGAGGTTTTAAATGGTCATTTGCAACACAGTAGAACTGGCTCAGGAAATCTTAGAGATTATGTAGTTAAATGTATTATTCATTTTACAGAAAAGGAAGCCAGGTCCAGAGAGGTTAAGTGCCTGCCTAGTTAAGGACAGAGCCAGGATATGACCCCAGATCTCTGATTAATAGTCCAGGACTCTTTGCATGACACCAAGCTACCTTTCCTGTTTTGTTTGTTGAAAGAACATGCACTCTTTCACTAATTGCAATGGTACCATCACCTGCTTCTTACCTCTTCCTGGGACTGGTTGAATTGCTGTATCAGTTGTGCTTGTGCCAGCATTACTCTTTCCAGTTCATCTGACTTCTGTTTCATTTCCTTCCTCAAGTCCTCTGAAACTGAATCATTACTGTCAATTTCCTTCTTCAAGCGTGATTCAAATTCTGCAACCAAATTTTTAAGGTTTTCGATTTCTTTCTCCTTTAACTCAGATTCTTCAGTATATTGAATATGGGATTCATGGAGCTTTTCTTCAAGAGCAGCCACTTTCAGCCTTAGATCTTTAGTAGCACCTTCAATTAAGTCAGATATCTGTAAGATAAATCTTGCATTAGTTTGTGGGTGATAGTCTCTAGGTATCCACAGAATTCTCGTGGTTTTAAGAGGCTTATTCTAAATAACTGGTGCTCTGATCTGATGAAAAAAAAAATCCTATGACATATATAGGGCTTCAAGATTTTAAAAGTTAAGACTAAAATTTTATTTTTATCAACTAAAATGGAATTGCATTAATCACTTGGGCATACTTGGAAATACATAAATCTCTGTGGCTGAACTGAGCTACCAAGGACAGCTCAAGTCTTGATCGAGTGCCTGTCTGGACTCACTTTAGGGTGGCTTTGGGACCTAGAAATTCCTGATGTTTGGGGATGCATGTAGGAGAGCACCACACCTATAGTCTACTCAAACCATACCAGTTAAGTTTCCTTCGATATATTTTTTTTCTTTCTTGAATATGATGACTGGAGGTACCCTAGACACTACACCTTCTATAGCAGCCCTGCCCAACAGAACTTTCTGTGATGATAGAAATATTCTGTGCTGTCCTATGTGGTAGCCACTAGCCACATGTGACTATTGATAGTGGTGTGCTGGTAAATGTTTAACAATGGACTCACACATACACACACAAAAGCCAGATTTATATCTAATTTCCATGGTGTGAATACTCTCACCATGGCCAATTCCAAGCTATGAAGGTGATATCACTGTTCGTTAAGCTGGGAAGAAATGCACATAATAGGCTCTCGCTTGTTAGTATGGGCTCTTGTGCATTTGAAACGTGGGCGAACATGAGTGAGGAACTCAATTTTCAATTTTATTTAATTTTAATTAATTGAAACTTAAGTAGACACATAAGTTACCACATTAGACAGTGCAGTTCTAGACGATACCAGAATACTTAGAAAATATACTGCTTCTGAAGGTGGTACCTCTAGACAAAGAGAGGAAAGAATAACTTGAAAAACTTCTCCTCAAAGTCATGAAATTCTTTAGAAGGGAAAAGATTACTTACTTTTTTCTCCTTAAAAAGCAAAACAAATAACAGAAAACAGACCAGGAAGAGCAAAACCCCTTTTGATGAAACATATCCTTATTATTTATGCTATGGATATTGTCACATAAATATTAGTACAAGAAATCAGCCCATGAAGAATCTGGAAAACATTCATAGACCAAAGTTCCAAGGATTTTGTGAACGATTACTTAAGTTATGTATCCAAAATTTGTTTCAAATGTTAAATTCACATTAAGAATAAATTTTACAAGAAATCTATTTACCACACTTAGTAATTTTATAAATTAAAGTAATATTCCATTTTCTTCAATTAATCCAGGAAGGAAGAGGGCCACTGCTAGGTCTGAACAGTAGTTTCCTTCATCCAGAGGAGAGCTGACACTGAAACAGAGCAGGTTATCCTGGGGAGAGGAGGCTCACATAGCCACAAACATGTTTTGATTTTTTAAAAAGGGAGTCAACATTTTAAAAATCAAGGGACCTCCCTGGTGGCACAGTGGTGAATCCACCTAAATGTTAAATTCACATTAAGAATAAATTTTACAAGAAATCTATTTACCACACTTAGTAATTTTATAAATTAAAGTAATATTCCATTTTCTTCAATTAATCCAGGAAGGAAGAGGGCCACTGCTAGGTCTGAACAGTAGTTTCCTTCATCCAGAGGAGAGCTGACACTGAAACAGAGCAGGTTATCCTGGGGAGAGGAGGCTCACATAGCCACAAACATGTTTTGATTTTTTAAAAAGGGAGTCAACATTTTAAAAATCAAGGGACCTCCCTGGTGGCACAGTGGTCAAGAATCCACCTGCCAATGCAGGGGACACGGGTTCGAGCCCTGGTCCAGGAAGATCCCACATGCTGCGGAGCAACTAAGCTCATGCGCTGCAACTACTGAGCCTGTGCTGTAGAGCCCATAAGCCACAGCTACTGAGCCTGTGTGCCACAACTACTGAAACCTGCGCACCTAGCGCCTGTGCTCTGCAACAAGAGAAGCCACTGCAATAAGAAGCCTGCACACCGCAACGAAAAATGGCCCCGGCTCACCACAACTAGAGAAAGCCCACACACGGCAATGGAGACCCAGTGAAGCCAAAAATAAATAAGTAAATAAAGCTGAATAATATTCCTTTAAAAAAATAAAAAATCAAGAGAATTCACTCACAAAATCTGGACTTATGATTTCTCTTGAAAGACTGTAGCCCTGGTAAGTTGGGGCCTGCCTTTCAGCATTCCCCTGCTGCTGGTCCTGAGCCACCTGGGGACTGCAACAGCAGTCACATGGTTAGGGGAAAAGGGGGGTGGGGGGCAGGAGCCAGGAAGCAAGAGGCCTGTCTAGGATAGAATCTGTCCAGAAGAGGAGGGGCCTAAGGTGAGCCAGGTTACAAGTTCCCAGCGCATACTCCATTGTCCCAATATGACTTCACTTAACAAAACACAAATTAAGAGATAAAATTACTTTTTAAAAATTTTTTTAAGAATTTATTTTTTGATGTGGACCATTTTTAAAGTTTTTATTGAATTTGTTACAATATTGCTTCTGTTTTATGTTTTGACTTTTTGGCCCCAAGGCATGTGGGATCTTAGCTCCCTGACCAATGATCCAACTCACATTGGAAGTTAAACCCCCTGCATTGGAAGGGGGAGTCTTAACCACTAGACCACAAGGGAAGTCCCCCCAGAGGTAAAATTATTAAGAATTTCAAGACAGCATTTACAGAATGTTAAACCTGAAAGGCCTTTTTGAGTGTGGGGACCTACGGTTCTACACTCACATGGCTGGCCCTGCGTATCGTTCCCAGTGAGCTACTGAAAAGGCTGTACCATACTCTCTATACACCAAAGTAGAGGCCAGTAAGTCTCATTTAAGGCTAATTTACATAGACTCTTAATGAGTTTATTCAAAAATATGACTTCACCACTGGGTGTTGGTTAATACACACACACACACACACACACATACATATTCTACTCTCAGGTGTTACGAAAACAAGGGAACCTTAACGAAACCTTGTATTATGTTTAGGATACATTGCTTAAGAAATTATGGGGACTTCCCTGGTGGCGCAGTGGTTAAGAATTCGCCTGCCAATGCAGGGGACACGGGTCCGATTCCTGGTCCGGGAAGATCCCACATGCCACGGAGCAACTAAGCCCGTGCACCACAACTACTAAGCCTGAACTCTAGAGCCCGCAAGCCACAACTACTAGAGCCCGCGTGCCTAGAGCTCGTGCTCTGCAATAAGAAAGGCCACTGCCATGAGAAGCCCGCGCACCACAAAGAAGAGTAGCCCCTGCTCACCGCAACTAGAGAAAGCCTGCGCGCAGCAACAAAGACCCAAAGCAGCCAAAAATAAATAAATAAATAAAGTTAAAATGATACTTTGAAAAAAAGAAATTATGGAGGTGTGATTACATTTAAAAAATATTTCCCTTCATTCAAAAATATTTAGAGTTGAAAATATTTGCCATTAAAGGGGATAGGCTTTAATTGTTGGTAAAATTTTAATTATGTGAAACACCTCATTATCTTTTGTTGGATACTTGAGGTATTGGAACATCTAACCATGCTAATTATTAGTTATATAATTTATGCTGTTTTAAAAATAAGTTTATTTTAGTAGGAAAAAATACCATACATAGCTAGATTGTATGCTTATATAATTTATCTCAGTCATTCATTCTGGAGAATAGCCAAACCATTCTGTCTACCTAAAACTAAGGCACAATGACCATGAGGAAATCTACAGGAGTTATAAATATAGTGGTGTCCTTAGGAGGAAATAACCAACATCTACAGTTTCAAACCCATTAAATAATGATGAACATCATAATGACAGACCTTCATTTGTAGTTCTTCTTGCTCTTTCTTACACTTTTGGATTATTTCTTGGTGTTTTTCCTTTTCAATATCGAGTTCCAGTTTAACTTCTTTAAAGAGAAGAGCTTGCTCCTGAAATTCAACTAAATGTTGGGCCCTTTCCTTGGCAAGTTCAGCTTCAATCTAGAAAATTGCATTTAACACACAAATAGAGCCATTTTATCTTAAGATAAGTAAATTAAGCCTATTTTCAGACTCATATTTTTTCTCCCAGTTTTATTCAGATATAATTGACATACAGTGCTATATAAGTTTAAGGTGTATAGCATAAAGATTTGACTTACATATATCCTGAAGTTATTATCACAATAAGTTTACTGAACATCCATCATCTCATATAGATACAAAATTAAAGAAACAGACTTTTTTTTTCTGGTGATGAGAACTCAGGATCTAATCATTTTAAAAATTCTAATCCTAATATTAATTTTTAAATTCTAATGTTTAAAAAAATCTGACTCAGAACTCGGGCCAGAAAAGTTGACCTTAGGTCAAATAGTGTTACATCTTCTAAGACCATCAAAACCTGTAAAATGAGTAGAGAAGTTAGTACAATATATTATAACAGTTTTCAGAAATACTAAAAGCTTAATCTTCTGTACATTTATGGTGTAAACTCAGTCCTTGCCAGCGACCCTATAAGGAAAAAAAAGATTTTGAGGCTCTTACACTAAGTTCTGCTGAAAACTAAGAGTGGATACAAGGCATAAATGTCGATTTTTAAAAAATGGTCCTTTCTTGATAGAGATCAGACAGTTTTGGGGTCAAAAATTATCATTTTAATGCGACTGAGGCCAGAAGGCTGATTGAAGGAAAACATAGTGATGCCCGTATCCAGATTTTGACTCACATAAAATCACGGTGCTGGGAGGGACCTTAGAAATCCCCTAGTTCATTTTCTCAAGCTTCCATGAATTGTGGAAGAATAAACAAAGGTTTTGGATTGAGTTTAAATCCTGGCTCTAAATCCTGGCTCTGCCATTCTAGTTGTGTGATCTTAAATTGTGACTGTAACCTCTCCTGATGTGGTTATAACTAATTCCCTTGGGGGTCGTTATGAGGATTATAAATGAGATGAAACACCTGTGTAAAGCTCTTGCACAAGCAGGGATTCAATAGTCAGTGGAGATTATTTCTACACCCTGACTTCAGTCTCTACCATGGAATTTGCACCAAATTATTGTCTGCTCTGTGCCTCAACACCACCAGAAACGATAATTCACTTCTTCCCTAGCAGGCGTTTCCATTGTCAGACAGCGCTCAGCATTAGGAAGTTTTTCCTTTAGTTGAGCCAACATCTCTCCCCTCATGGCTTTTAACCATTGGTTTTGGCTCTATCTACTGGAGCGAGAGAACAAATCAATGAGTCCTGGACTAACTTAGCCCTGGAAAACTATATAGTGGAGTAGAGAAGGGATCCCAGTGACAGGCTGGCTCGAGATTTACATTGTGCCATGATTATAAATTCTAAGAGGGAGTAAATGCCAGATAACTTGGGAGAAAAACCGTCAAACATGACTTACTGTGACTGTGATTCTCAGGCCACTAAGAGGAGAAGGAGAGAAGTCAACCTGAATTTCTCAAGGGGATACTGAAACTAGGGTACCAGGAAACAGAAAGTTTGCTAAGAAAGTTTTCAGGAAACCATTTAAATTACATAAAATCCACATAGAAGACTAGTCCCAGTGTGGGGTCTGTGGGATTTATTGCACTGGGTATAGGACTGATCATTTGCATCAAGGCAAAACAGTTATGTTTATACTCAATGCAAGGAGTTATTTTGGCTCTCTCAAAATAAATTTCTGGATTGTTTGGGGGAAAGGATACCGATAATCATTTAGGAACATGATAGAACTGTTCAGGTGCGTTGCTAGCAGATTACAAAAGACAAGGAGAGCCTCAGGGCCCTCAGAAAAAAGAGCAGATGTTCTTCTGAATTCCAGGTACTTGCGTTCACTTGCCTCCTGGTAGCCGTTTAGATACATCACAGGTGTCTCAAAAAAACTGTCTGATTAAAGATGATACAAACAGATGGAGAGATATACCATGTTCTTGGATTGGAAGAATCAACATTGTGAAAATGACTCTACTTCCCAAAGCAATCTATAGATTCAATGCAATCCCTATCAAACTACCACTGGCATTTTTCACAGAACTAGAACAAAAAATTTCACAATTTGTATGGAAACACAAAAGACCCCGAATAGCCAAAGCAATCTTGAGAACAAAAAATGGAGCTGGAGGAATCAGGCTGCCTGACTTCAGACTATACTACAAAGCTACAGTAATCAAGACAGTATGGTACTGGCACAAAAACAGAAAGATAGATCAATGGAATAGGATAGAAAGCCCAGAGATAAACCCACGCACATATGGACACCTTATCTTTGATAAAGGTGGCAGGAACGTACAGTGGAGAAAGGACAGCCTCTTCAATAAGTGGTGCTGGGAAAACTGGACAGGTACATGTAAAAGTATGAGATTAGATCACTCCCTAACACCATACACAAAAATAAGCTCAAAATGGATTAAAGACCTAAATGTAAGGCCAGAAACTATCAAACTCTTAGAGGAAAACATAGGCAGAACACTCTATGACATAAATCACAGCAAGATCCTTTTTGACCCACCTCCTAGAGAAATGGAAATAAAAACAAAAATAAACAAATGGGACCTAATGAAACTTCAAAGCTTTTGCACAGCAAAGGAAACCATAAACAAGACCAAAAGACAACCCTCAGAATGGGAGAAAATATTTGCAAATGAAGCAACTGACAAAGGATTAATCTCTAAAATTTACAAGCAGCTCATGCAGCTCAATAACAAAAAAACAAACAACCCAATCCAAAAATGGGCAGAAGACCTAAATAGACATTTCTCCAAAGAAGATATACAGACTGCCAACAAACACATGAAAGAATGCTCAACATCATTAATCATTAGAGAAATGCAAATCAAAACTACAATGAGATATCATCTCACACCAGTCAGAATGGCCATCATCAAAAAATCTAGAAACAATAAATGCTGGAGAGGGTGTGGAGAAAAGGGAACACTCTTGCACTGCTGGTGGGAATGTGAATTGGTTCAGCCACTATGGAGAACAGTATGGAGGTTCCTTAAAAAACTACAAATAGAACTACCATATGACCCAGCAATCCCACTACTAGGTATATACCCTGAGGAAACCAGAATTCAGAAAGAGTCATGTACCAAAATGTTCATTGCAGCTCTATTTACAATAGCCCGGAGATGGAAACAACCTAAGTGCCCGTCGTCGGATGAATGGATAAAGAAGATGTGGCACATATATACAATGGAATATTACTCAGCCATAAAAAGAAACGAAATTGAGCTATTTGTAATGAGGTGGATAGATCTAGAGTCTGTCATACAGAGTGAAGTAAGTCAGAAAGAGAAGGACAAATACCGTATGCTAACACATATATATGGAATTTAAGAAAAAAAAATGTTATGAAGAACCTAGGGGTAAAACAGGAATAAAGACAGAGACCTACTGGAGAACAGACTTGAGGATATGGGGAGGGGGAAGGGTGAGGTGTGTTAGGGCGAGAGAGAGACATGGACATATATATACTAACAAACGTAAGGTAGATAGCCAGTGGGAAGCAGCCGCATGGCACAGGGAAACCGGCTCGGTTCTTTGTGGCTGTCTGGAGGGGTGGGATAGGGAGGGTGGGAGGGAGGGAGACAAAGAGGGAAGAGATATGGGAACATGTGTATATGTATAACTGATTCACTCTGTTTTAAAGCAGAAGCTAACACACCATTGTGGAGCAATTATACCCCAATAAAGATGTTTAAAAAAAAAACAACCAAAAAACTGTCTGAACCAGAGATCTTGATACAATTCCCTCCCCACCTGTTCCTTCCTCAATGCTCCCTATCTCAGGACACAGTACCGTCACCCATCGAGTTATTCAAGTCAGTAACTGGGGTAATCACCTTTCACACTTCTGTCTCCCTTACCCTCCACACCTAATCCAGCACCAAGTCCTGTTCATTTTGCCTCCAAAAGATGCATCGAATCCATCCATTTCTCTACACCTCTACTTCCACCACCCTCGTTGTGGTCACCACCACCTCCTGAGTGGCCTCCTTACTTCTATTCCTGCCTCTCTCCAACACCTGATACACAGCAGAGTGTTCTTCACAAACTATAAATTGGATTATTTTATTCCTTCTTAGTGGTTTTTCAATGCATTAGTATAAAATCCAAACTTCCATACACGATCTTCTACAGGACCACTATCAGCCCATATGACACCTTTGTGTAAATCAAAAAAGCATGCCTTCCTTAGATGAACACAGCCTTGGGCAGGGCACAAGACTTGGTGAGCAGAGCCCCGGCCGGATTCCAGCTCCCTTCTCTCCCTTGGCCTGTGCTATTAGTCACGATGCAACCTGAACACTATGTATGGCGGCCCTGGACTTCTCCAACCTGACTTTTACTGGCTTTCCCATTTGATTACTGTGCTCCAGCCACACTAGAATAGGTAAGTCAAGAACACATGAAAGGAGGAAATCAAATACAAAACATTCGGAAAACTTTAAGAGTTAATAGCCCACAAGATACCATGACACTATAAAAAAAAAGAGTAAACAAACATTTTTTGAAAAACTCAAGAAAAATTTGTGCCAAGGTACTAAAATATCAAGTGTTCAAAAAAATTTCCTTGTGTGGTTAATTGGTAGATCCAGAGTTATTTTAGGATAAGAAGACATATTTCAAAATATGGATTCAAATTAAGAGAACAAGGATGTACATAAACTATGTGGGACAGGACAAACTAAATTAGATGACAGAAGGACTTGAGAAGAACTGTTAAAAACAGAAATTCTTTAAATTTATTATGGGGAAGAGGCCATTTAGCAAACCAGCAGAGTCCCTTGATGAAGAGGAAACAAAGGAAGAGTTCAGGGAAGGAAAGGGGGTGGCTGACTGGTTGAATGAGAAGAATGTTCTGTTCTACCTGAGTCAGGAAGAAAGGAGATCTTCTTGCCCCTGAACTGTTCCTTGGAATGAACTAGTGTAGGTAAGGGGAAGGGGAAAAAGGAAGGAATAGATGGAGGGTGGGAAAGAAAAACACTGTAGATAAAAA